TGATAAAAATTTTTTAATTGCAAATAAATTAGGCTAGGCCCGCCTTTTCCATTTCCTATTACACAGGATTATGTTAATTAAATTAAATCAAATATAAAAAAGTTTAATAAAAAATATTCTAACTTACTTCTCTCAAAGTAATACCTAATTTTGCTGGACTCCTAGACACAACTACACCTGCGTTCTCTAAAGCTTTAATTTTGTCGCCTGCGGTACCCTTTCCACCGGCTATAATAGCACCTGCGTGACCCATACGACGACCAGGTGGTGCAGTTAGACCAGCAATAAAGGACACTACCGGTTTTGGCTGACTTCGTGTTAAATTATGTTCCTTGAGAAATTCTGCCGCCTCCTCTTCAGCTGAACCACCAATTTCCCCAATCAATATAATACCTATTTAAATTCGAAATAAAAAGAATAAATAATCATTTTTATTAACCTTGTCACTTAATATTTGATGATATACCTTTCGTGTTTTCGTCATCCAAAAACAATTTCAAACAATCTATAAAATTAGTGCCATTAAACGGATCTCCACCAATACCAACGCATAACGACTGTCCAAGGTTTACTTGAGTTGTTTGGCCAACTGCCTCATAAGTCAGAGTTCCGGATCGAGACACTATGCCAACTTTGCCTATTTGGTGTATATGACCAGGCATAATTCCAATTTTACAAGCACCTGGCGCAATTATACCGGGACAATTCGGCCCTATAAGGCGAGTCTTATTTTGAGATTTCAATACTTTCACAACCTAAAGTAATCATGAATTCAAATATAAACTTTATCTTTATTCGATGAAAATCGGTTGTTTGACGCATACCCTAACCATATCATGCTGTGGAATACCTTCCGTAATAGTAACTACTAATGGAATTTCAGCTTGGATGGCTTCTATAATAGCGGAGGCAGCAAAAGGAGGAGGAACATAAATTACAGATGCATCTGGTTTTAATTCGCGAGCTGCCTAAAAAGTGAATAAATGTTAGCAGTAATCCAAAGAATTAATTTAAAATCATAATTCTTACTTCAGCTACGGTGTTAAACACAGGCAACCCTAAGTGAGTTGTACCTCCTTTCTTGGGTGAAACACCTCCAACTAAATTGGTTCCGTATTCAATGGCTTGTTGCGAATGGAACGTACCCTAACGAAAAACGATTGTATGTATTAAAGGGAAATTTAGAAAGGTGGATAGAAAACGTCTAACAGTAATTGAAATTGTGCTTACCTGTTTCCCAGTAAAGCCTTGGCAAATAACTCGCGTATCTTTATTAATATGCATGTTTTTGAAAGTGTCTTTATAGTTGTTAGGAGAAACGATTCTATGCAAATGGCGAAGAATAAAATTCCCCCGTGAAAGGGCGAAATCCCGGCGAAAGAGGCCATTACCAGAATATGAAAGTTCTGGAAAATGAAGCCTTTGAACCTTTAATAAGAGACGAGACTCTGAAAAAGACCGAGCTACGTTGGTAAACGAATGCATTTTTCAATGATATTAGCGGGTATAAAATCTTGTTTATATCTAATCTTGATCCTTACACAAATTGCCGATCACTTACGAAAATCTCCGAAAATCAAAAACGTAAATTTTTTTAAAAAATAAAGCAAAGCGAAGTGAAATCAAGTTAAATATCAAATATTTAATATTAGAAATAAATTCTCTAAACCCTTGTAGTATATAAACATATTTTTTATTATTTCACCCATATTGACTAATAAACCAATTTCTAAGTTTACCGCAATAAAATTTAATGATCTTTTGTTTATATCTAATCTAAGTATCTGTAGATCTGTGCGAAAGATTTACAATCTTAGTTAAACCTCTTTATAATCACACTGTCGGGATCATACGTAGCGATAGTAACTTTTTAAGAATGTGCTTATAGAGAATTGTGCTTATATAGAGGTTTTTTTTTTTCTATATGAGTGCGTGAGAGTGAAAACCTGGAAGTGGATTTTTATTGGCGAGTTTGACCCCTGATAATTGTA